GAAAAGCAGGTGTGTTGAAGGCACAGGAAGGAGGGGAGAATAAATGTTTCCCAAGTATTTGAAACTGGGATTTAGATGCTGTAAGAAATTCAGAAACTTCAACAGATCATGCATTCCAGGAGTGCCCAGCTTTGGTTTGTGCTTTTCTCTATCATGTAGTTTTTCTTAAAATTAATGTCTGTCTTCAGGGAATGCTTTTAAGGATACTTTAAGTGGAAAACTTCATTAAGTAATATTTTCAAAATTTCAGATGTTCGGAGTTCTTTTTGTTTTCTTGTTTGTTTTTTTTTTTAATGTCAGATTTGCAGAACCTTTTGGCTCTGGGCAGCCAAGTAGACACATGACCTGTATTGTGAAGCTTGAGAAAGGGAGGCAGTTTCTGTCTCCCAGTAAACCCTAAGCTGGCTGTAGCCATTACTAGGAACTGCTTCTAACAGCAACTGGGGATGTGAGTGTGTAAAATTACTGTAAGAAATGAATTGGCAAGTGCAGTGTGACTGTACTGTAAGCTGAGCCTTAGGATACAAAACATCTAAATTTTCAAATGAAAAGCCTTAACATCCTCAGCTGCCACTGCTTGGTGTGTGGTGATGACAGTCCCAAAAGATGATTATTCCCATCCATTGTGTGTAATGCCCCATAGGTGAGCTGAGAGCCTGTCCTGACAGCATCATGTCACTGTTTTTTCTATTTAACAGTGGTAAATTTTCGTCAAGTGTGTTGCCCTTTGTCTACAACAGAATATGCCTCCATCAAAATCCATGTTTTACTCTTAGGAATGTTGCTGAAATCTAGGGAAATGGTTGGGAACATATTAACTGCAGGTGGCCAGGTGTTTCTTTTTCAAATACTCTCAGTAAGGTCACACCCACACCTTTGTGGGCTCATACTGCCATGCACGTTTGTCTGGTGCTTCCCCTATTCATGCTCCATACAGCCAAGACAGCCTGCCAGAATAAATCAATTTCTTTGAGCAGCACCATAGTGAGAACATTGTTCCCAACTGGAGATATCACAGATTAGAGTCCCACACTGGAAATCACCCAACAATACAGGGTATGAAGTGTAACAGCATTCCTACATTCCCATCCAGCATATGGAAAACAGGCCTCTGAGAGAACTGCACATCCCTGGAATGAGCAGCTTATGGTGATGCTCACGTAAATCTCACCTGTATAGCACAAAGGTCTCTCTATTTCTCTGCCCAGTTATTTCTGATGCAAAGTCAAAGGTGATTATTATGCTCCCTACCTGCTTCTCATTCAATCTAGCCCCTTGTTTGAAGCTCACTGATGCAGTGTTCTGATTTCCTGACAATGATTTATTTCTTTTTTTGTCCTCCACAAAGGAAAATGAGATTTTAGTCATGAACTGGCTGGGTAGGTATTTGAATTGAGTGTGGGAAAATGCAATAGAGTGAGACTATTTAAATGACACTGTGAGAACTTCCTCACTGATATGCCTGAATGTTAAATTGGTGGAACTATTGTACCCATAGAGGTGAAAAGGTAACACAGTTTTCATGGTCAGAAAAACATGATCTATGACTAAAAGGCTCGTGATGGTATTTTTATAATGAGCCCACCCCACCAGTAAGAAATTGAAGTGGTGCCAGTTTTAAAGGATATGCTAGAATTAAATGAAAGCTCACCACTATCTGATGTCCTCTATACATGCTTAAATGCCCCATACAGAGCACTGTGGGCTCAACCCAGGGAAAACAATTCCTAAATGTGAGCAAAAAAATCATCAAAGGAGCAGCACTGCTCATGTATTTGAAGTTATGCAACTGCTGCATAGTTCCAAGAGCACTTAAAGACTATTTTCTGTGTGTTATTTATTTTCTCTTAAAGGTAAACACACAGATAAATTTTAACTTAGTTATTAATATCTGTGCAGTCACCTTTTACTGCATGTTCCTGTCCAAGCATCTGAGAAGCTACAGTACTATTCTGCATGCAAATAACATCAATCTAATAAATTAATAGCGTTCATTGAAAAAAAAAAAAAAAGTAAATTTCAAACCAAAAAATACCTAAAATATTAGAGTTTTTTTCCTTTTCATCTTCCAAGGGAAAAAGAGAGCTAAACTAAAAGCAAATCTCTGTTCAAGTCAGGTCACCATGACACAAAGCAGTACAAACCAATAAATCCAGCAATGCTGACAGTCCAGCCTGGCAGTATGCTCACAGGCTTCTGAGCCGTGGAAAGTTGGGAGGGCTTTGGATATAAGCTCTGTGGCTGCAAGCTGACTTCTTGGAATGAAAGAAAGGTCAGCCTGCCACAAACAGCATGTAAGGCAAGAAATGTGTGCTCAGAGCTGCACTGCATGGGGGGAGTGCAGCCCCATCCTCTCCTGCTCCACAGATAAACCAACCTTAATTTTGGGCAGGGAGGAGAGGAGGGAAGGAAGGATCCCTGTAGGATCCCTGCTGTTCATGCCCCTGGCACATCACTGGTAACTGAGATGAATATTCAGGTGTCGGTAGGAACACAGGAAAGCACCTCACCTTCCCAGCAAAGGTAATGGAGAGAGAACTACTTGAAAAGAAAGAAAAAAACCCAGCTAAGGCACTAACAAGGCATTGACTGTCAGAAAACACAAATTTAGGTCTCACTTTCAATGAGAATGTTTATATGTTGCACATATAGCACGAGAAAGCATAGCCCCAGTGCAGCTGAACAGCTGCAGATCAGAAATTACTATGTATATTTATTATGCAAACATATAACCAGGCCATTTCAAAGTGCCATGAAATCAACTGAAAACTTTTCAGAACACATTTCCCTCTGTCATGGACTAGGTGTTAAGGAACCCACATTCCTCCTCCCCTAAAGGCTGGTCCCAACTGTGGATACAGCTGAGATCTTTGAAAACATGAGCCAAGTGTTTGATCTTTTGTGTTTCCTGGACCACAGCAAGCACAACTGCGGAGCACTCACAGACAAAGAGAACAGCTTGCAGGGGTTGGAGTTCTCACCTCTCCAAACACAGGTGAGCTGCCATGGCCAGGCACCTCAACCCCCAAAACATTGTTTAAAAGCCATAAATATGACACCTGCACAGAGCTAAAAGGAAGCTGATGACTTCATGGGTTGGTTTGTTTGCTTCACTCAAGCACCAACAGAAGGTAAGGCTGAAGGGCTTTGGTCAAAAATACTCAACTGCACAAAACAGGAGAGGCTTAGCTTCAGACACAGCCTGCATTATTCAGTGCATGAAGAACTTTTAGTCATAGCTTGAAACAAAGCCCGTAGAAGATGGCTGGCAAGCTTTCTAATTAATACAACAGGTTTCATACTTTTAAAATGTAGTCAGGCACATCCTAAATGTCAGAAAAGAAGTCTATCTGCTGAAACCTTTTATTCCTAGTGTATAAACACACCATAAGAAGATCCAGCATTCTGCCTTGCTTAATACATTGAGAAGCACTACAAGATGTCTATTTGGACCTATTTGTAAAGCTCAGGTCCAAAATGCTTTGCTCTTTAAAAAACTATTAAAGGACATAAGCGCATACAACTATAAAACCTTGTATTCAGAAAAAAAAATCAAGTAATTCCTCTCTGAACATTGCTGCAGGGGTGAAAAGTCAGAGTACGCAAGATTTCTGTAGGGAAGGAAGAAATCAGGTGTATTGATCAATGTTCACAGAATCAGAATCATTTAGTTTAGAAAAGACCTGCCAAGATCATTGAGTCCAAGCTTTGACTGACGTCCACCTTGTCAACTAAACCACAGAAGTAAGTTCAGTCATCTCTTGAACACTTCCAGGGATGGTGACTTCAACACTTCCCTGGGCAGCCCCTTCCCACACTTAACCACCCTTTCAATGAAGAAATTCTTCCTGATACCCAACCTGAACTTCCTCTAGAACAGCCTGAGGTCACATCCTCTCCTGCTGTCAGTGGTTACCCAGGAGAAGACGTTGACACGTGACCCCACCTGGCTGCACCCTCCTGTCAGGCAGGTGCAGAGTGCTGAGGTCCCCCTGAGCCTCCTTTTCTCCAGGCTGAGACCCCCAGCTCCCTCAGCTGCCCCTCACAGCACTTGTGCTCCAGACCCTTCCCCAGCTCCGCTGCCCTTCCCTGGACACGCTCCAGCCCCTCAATGTCTCTCTGGCACTGAGGGGCCCAGAACTGAGCACAGGATCGGAGCTGTGGCCTCAGCAGTGCTGGGTACAGGGAGACGGTCACTGCCCTGCTCCTGCTGGCCACACCTGGCTGAGCCAGGCCAGGATGCCATCGGCCTCCTTGGCCACCTTCTGGGCACACTCTGGATCATGTTCAGGCACTGTCAACCACCACCCCCAGGTCCCTTTCCACTATACACAGTCTCTACATAACCCAGAGCAAATGACAATATCAAAATGAACATTAAAGGCCATTTTATAATTGGGGCTCATTGCTGGATTTTTTTTCCAAACTTCACACAATCACATAATGATTTCAGACAATTCCCCAATCATTCTATCTTGTGTAGTGAATTCATCATGGCCACAAACTTTTGGGAATTTTTTTCTGTGAGTAAGAGGTTTTTCAGAAATACAATTTGAGAATGTTTTTAAGCTTTGTTATCTACTCCCTAAAGGTATCTTTTTTCCTTTTTGATTATGCCTTTGAGGCAAATATAGTGCATTTCAGACTAATCTGCCAAGTTCATGGGACACGGTGACATGTCAGCCACTTAGGGATTGAGTAAAACGCAGATGTAGGCAGATTCATGCATTCCTAAGGCAAACATACTGCCTGATCTGTCGTCTAATTTCAAAATTAGTGTGACGAGGAGTAATTTTTAGTGTGGGAAGTTTCTGTTATCAGTTTAATCTAAACAGTAACATAGACAATCTGCTTACTCGGTGGTAAATCATGTGGCAATACTTCAATTCCAAAAGAATGCATGGAAATACAGTTGTTACATGAAAGTGGAATGACTGAAATGGATTTTTTTACTGAAAATCACATTTACTGAATGCAAACACAAAATAAAGAAAAAAAACTTCAGGATGTAGAAATAAAGAATTTTGTGCTATTTATTAAAACATAATTGCTTTAAGGATCACAGTTAAAAGTCAGACTGTATGGAATATCAAAGAACATTGCTTTCCTGGGCAGTTAGAAATGACAAACCTTGTCAACTAACACAGAAGTCTGTCTATACCACTTTATCTAGGGTCACACATTTGCACCAGCTCTAGTGGGTTTTGTATTGGTATGTGGGGATCTCAAAAATGCTCTTATTCCCAGTTGTAATGTAGATTCTTCTTTGTTGACTTTAGGAAATTATGATATGACCAGTAAGGACACCTAGAGACATTCCTGTATTTGTCAGTTGTCCACAGTTTTTTCAAGAACCAAGATGTAATTTTTACCAACAAGCAAAATCACTTATACTTTTAATGAGGGGTACCCTGATTTAGCTGGGGATACTGAACTTGTATTCCAGGGGCCTTTGTTCATGTGACAAGGATATGTCTGTACAGACCAAGCTACACATCACCAGCAGGACACAGGCACACAATGGGGACATCTAACGAGCCATGGGCAAAATCAAAAGCATAAGGCCAGAAGTATCCAAACAAGACTCACAATTTCCTATGTTTACATATAATTTGTAATGTCTGGCAAAGTCTGTTATATTTTAATACACTCATAAATTCTTCTTAAGGTTTATCTGTTTCTCTGTCTTTTTGAATATATCTACAATTTACTGCCTTAAATGCATGAGTTGCTTCATAACCGTATCAAAGGAACAAAAATCACCACATTATAATTTTTCAGTTGAATATTCATTACTATGGTAAAACATGAATATAAAGTTAATTCAGTCCAATTCCCTTTTTACAGCTACTCCATTTATAATGGTGTGCTTTTAAAATAGAAAATATGTAGCTCCAGTAAATCATACTGAAATGAGTCTGATGTGTATCAAAATGTTTGCAGTCATATTTTCCATTTCTTTTTGCATCTGATCTCACTATAATTTGATGCTAATGGCTGATTGAGTGTTCAGCATTGGAATTCAAAACATTAAGATTATTAAGAGTTGCAGTCAGTGAAAACATCTCTATTTAAAGCTTCTGAAATAGAGAATGTAAGAGTTGATGAATTTAGGATTACAGCTAAGTGATTTAGCTTTAGTAAGTGCTGAACTTTTAAGGAAAAATAACACAAACCAAAGCTTAGTGGGTTTGCATACACATTACTTCTGGTGTAATACACACTGAAATTTTCCTAAACTTTCTGATTTTTGAAGAAGAGCTCCACTGAATGATGCAGAAAACAGTATGCTGGATCAAGAGTTTCAATGCAACATGACCACAGATGTGAGTATGAATGTACACTGTGTGCCTAGCACATTATTTATTTCTGATGGCATTGCAGTAATAAAAAGTAAAATATCCGTAAGAAAATGTGGGCAATATTTATTTTAATTCCTCCAAAATCTTACATTATGCACATGCCCACATGTACCCATGCACACAATGTGCTAAAGTAAAAATTTTGCACCATGTCATACCAGAAATTCAAGAGTGTGCAATGTGTAAGAAAAATGTATAACTGTTGTTAGAGATCTGGAAAGTCTATTCACTGTCATTCATATGCATATCTAAAAAGCAGCTTAGACAAGTTTACAAAACATTTCTTATGACTGTTGTGATTTTTGCAGTTAAGGAATCAGGAACTCACAATATGTACATCAAGCTTGAATGGCTTGTGTATGTTACAGGTATAAAGCAGTCGGCAGGGTAAGTATGTCAAATATGCTGAAGTCCTGACATTGCAGAATCTTGACCAAAATAAACAAACAAAAAATGACCCAGGTATCATCTCTGTGATAAGAGAAAAGACATTTCACTTCTTATGAAAGAGAAGAGGTTTCACCATCCCTGCTAGAATCTTGGGTAGCTGAGCAGCAATCACTTCTGACATCATCTCAGGGAATTCAACGCTCAGTGCACGGGACTGGAGAAATGTGTTCAAACAGAAGAGATGGAGCTGTTTCACCAGCTGGATTTGATAAAATACAAACATGATCAATCAGGCTAACAGTAATGCAGCCACATAAGCATGCTGTCAACCACTTACACATTCATCAGCTCACATCATTCTATCCCTTACCCTGTCCTTTCTTGAATCAGGAATGAGGGTACTTGTCAGACCCTGTTAATGGCAAAAACCATACATATAGCTATGGCAAGGCATATAAAACCACTGCTTCACTAATATTACAAAGTAGTATCACCCTCACTCAAGATGTATGTGACAAACAATGGCAACTACTTAACAAGCTTTCAACCTTACATCTTATTCTCACATTCATGTGTGTGCTTTGGTCACTACCTGCTATTTAAACACTGCTCTGAGAGGCAGCATTTACTACTTGCCTGTGAGCTTTGACATGGTTTTCATTATAATCATATCAGTGTATGCTGCAAACACTGAACTCTACAGACTCTAATCCCTTGAAAGCAACCGCTCAACACATGATTATTACATCTCTTCTAGCCTCCCTGAGAGATTCCAATTTTTATTTCAGACCAGTGACCATTATGTTGTTAAATATTGGGCTATTTCTGCTACCTTAGGCTTTAACATCACGCAATCTCTCCAGTGTGATGGTTTTTCTTTTCCTTGTATCTCCCACCACCTTATCAGCCTGAGCTGAAACAGGACTTGAATGAAAATACTCCATGGATCAAATACCACTTTGTTACTTTGCAGCAAGCCTCTCTCCCTCTTTCTCTTCCTCACAGGTTATTTTACTGTATGCATTTAAAAGGAAGAGATTGAATTAAAATAAAATGCAGATTTGCTGAGTTCTGAAGAATACGAAGATGCAAAAGTCCTGTCCACCTTGAACTCCTTAGGAGTTCCTCACAACCAACATTGAGTTCAAGTGTCCAGGGCATGGTATCTAGAATTGTCAAAGATTACTCAATTTCTAAACCTAGACAGATACTGAAAAAGTGGTACAGAATACCCACATAAAACCAGTTGAACTAAGGTTGGAAATCCAATCTTGGTTGCCTTTTACTAATTCTTAGCAGTCTGACTTTGCAACTTGAATTGCCTTTACCTCACACTATTTTCCTGAACAAGTATACACGTGCTCACACACACATATACACCACCCCTATCAAAGCCCACAATTGTACTGGTTATAATACACTAAAAATAAAACAAAATGGTAGCACTCTAATGCATGTTTCACAAATACTTTGATGTGGTATACCATAAAATATGTGCACAACACAAATACTGATGTTGAGTACAGAGCTATCTATTCACACAAATATACACAATAAAGGAGTTTTTTGTTTGTTCTTCTGTTGTTTAGCAATGCTGATGACTCCCTTCCATAGAATTACTTTTAGGAAATTCCTTCTTACATAAAGAGCAGAAAGCATTAACAAATCAACTTACATCATGCATGGAATCCATCAGTTTTGTAAGCTGATAGAAACGCTGTGAGTTGGCCACAACGCCCTTCTGGCGCAAACCAATCGCCTTCACCAGTTCTCTGATGTAGCTTGTTCTCATCTCATCAAATTGGCTTTGACTTCTTAGACCTTCCAAAGGAACTTAAAAAAAAAAAAAAAACAAATCAGCTGGGCTACAATTTACTCTGAAGGCAGTGAAATTTCAAGTACAGGAAAAATTTACAGTATTTCATGCTGTACAGTGCAATTCATTATTATGTGCCAGGTAATTCTTCCCCTTCAGGAGTTACTCCAAAACCAGTGATACAATTAGTCAAAAGGATATACCAGGAGCAATCAGTTCATTTTGCTAACTGCCTTATGACTAGAAATATCCCTAAGCTTCAGTTACATGTGTTAGCTAGGGAAAAAAAAAATATGGCTTAAAGAACCACTCCAGTCTTTGGGGAAACACGTTGTGGACTGATCTGTGCTTATCCTGCTGAGGGTCTGCCCTCTTCACAGCAAATCTGTGGTAGAGAGATCTAGCTGGAGTGCTTCAAAATGGAGTCAAGGAATGAACTAACAGCTCTAAAGCAGTGCACACAGTAAAGCTGCCAGGGCTCAGACCTCCTGTTTGAACCTCTTTCACTTAATAGAACCGATCAGAGACTTAAAGGTGAACAGCTTTTCACAAGAATGAGCAAGGAGGAGAAACTGGTTGAACTCCTTCTTCTCTTAAAGGTCAGGTGTGAGAATAAAAATGAGGCCATGGAGAGAACACTGAGAAAAGAACCTGTTAGTGGCTACTAGTGATAAGTGTCATGGAAAAAGAATAGTTTAATTTTCAAAGCCTGGATGATTCTGGATATTTCTTTTACAGAGAACTAAGGAATGTTTTCATATAAAGTGGCTCTGATGGAGTTTAGGGTTGGATGGAAGTTACTCTTGACTTACATCTCTAAACCAGCAATTAAGTCTTTATATTTCCCCTGCAAATTAATTTTGAAGGTATCTTCCATCAATGAATGGCATTTTTCCTCTGAATTCTGCAAAAAGACAGGCACATTCCCACCTAATGACCAATGTTCCTTGTAGCTATCTATTTGAGCTGCACCCTTCCCTGAACATGCGTCAAGAATGAGGATACTTTTATTCAGTGGCACGAACCGAGCCAAAATCTTATGTAACAAGATTTAGAAATTCCTTTAAATCAGAAGTCTGGAAAGCATTACATTTAAGCCTCCGCCAAATGAGGCTCAAAGAAAAAACTGTAAAATCAAATATAATGTTAAAACTCAGGCTGGGGGTCCATTCAAAATTAGAAATGTATAGAGACTGACACTCAGTTTATTTCAAATTATTGCTGCTTTGGAATAATCTAAAAATGTCAAAAACAGTTCATCTAAATAAATTGAACAGAAGACACAATGAGAGACTAAAGGATTAGACTTGGTTTACTGTTAGTACACAAAAGATTGAAATGGCTGCACTTTCACAATTGAAGTGGATTAAGATGAACATCATGACTAAAATAAAAGTAATCTTGAAACACCTTCAAACAACAACAAGGTTATATGGCTTTTTGAAAATACTTTTGTGGAATTATATTTATACAGTACCAAATGTTTACTAAATGTCTCAGCAACAACTATTAGGTGTGTTCCTTTTCCCAAAGATCTGACAAATTGTTTTTTCCTATAAGACAATAAATGCAGGAGAGAACAAAAAGCAAAACTCATCAGAACAGGTAGATATACTTTTTTTTTTTTTAAGTCATTTCCTGCATATACAAAAAATATCATCTTAAAAAAATAGTTTCTGAATGCAACGCAGTTGATAAAGAAAGGTAACTGGATGAATTCCATTAAATTGATGCACTCAAAAATTAGAGGGATTGGACCAACACTGTTATGCTTTTTTGAATTTGATATAAACTTTCTGGAGCAGAGATAGCTTAAATTTATCACAAATTTGTCACAAATTTATCTAAATTTATCTGAAATTTTAGAAGATAGAAAAGAGTTTATTTGGTATGAAAACAAGGGGGAAAGCATTGAAAAAGGGAATACATTAATATTCTAACAAAGCAGCTGGAGTTATATCAGGATTTTTAGATTTTTATCCACATTACCTTTACTGCTTTAGCAGAGTGTATGGAATTTTGCTATTCTTTTAGTAATTTCCATGTTCATATCTTTTTAAACTTACTCTCTGCTGAGACCAGGTTTTTTTTGGGTTTTTTTTTTTTTACAAATGGGTTTATGCAAATACCAGCCATGAACAGATTGAGAGGGACTAAATTTTAATTCCTTATCAATTAACTAAACTTTGTAAAACCAAGAAGCAGGTCATGCAGGATTTGCACATCTCTTCTCTGACCCCTTTGTGTGTTGAGAACCAAACTTTTACATTCTTTCCACTATATTTTTCAAACGTGCTTATTCTCATGTCTAACAGCACCTGTATAACTTCAAAAAAATTCTATTTGGGGATTCATAACTAAGAATTATGGCCTTAGCAAATGCAAATTTTAGTATTTCAGAGAAGATTTTGGAAGATAAGTTCACGAGCAATCACATTTCCTATGTAATGGGGAATGCAGCTGTACGCTGCATTCTTTAAAAGATGCGTATAATTAAGTGACCACGGATTTTGTTTCCAGAGCAACAAACCAAAGAAAAACATTTCCATTTGTTTATATCTGTGCTAAACTTCACCTATTTATAACTATAAAAAGTTGAATAACTGCTTGTATTGTTTGTGATGGCCACTTCCCTAATTCTTCTTAGCAAACATGCTTTAAGATCTTGGTCAAGATAAAGCCCTCAGTCTTGATAATTTATTAAATATTTTATTTTTAAATGTGTTATAATACTTTTAAGATTGTTTTGATTTGGTTGGAGATTTTTAAATTTGTGTAGAGTCACTTGAACCGATGTTTCCACGCAGAAATACTGCACAGTTGTTTTGAAAATGTGTAACACAGTATGGCCATATGTCAAAAGGGATCCAACATTTCCCCAGTACAATAAAACCAACAATGAATCACAAATTCTTTGTTCTTTATAAACATTAGAAAAAATATTTTTAGTCTTACAATCCTAACATTCCATCTAGGACAGTTCCATTTGTTAAGCCATAGAGCTTAGTGATTGTCAAGTTGTCAAGTTAAAGAACATGGTTCAAAACCCTTTTAGTAGTGATGTGTTAAAAAGAAATAAAAGAACCTACTTGTGTTGAGAAGTAACAGTGCTTTCATACACAGGAACTCTTCTTGGCTTACTTGAAGTCTGACAAATTCCTGTGGGAGTTGCCACATGGATAGACACAGGGAATAGAACGATGATTCTTTCATCCTCTGTCTTACACCCAGAAAAGTTTAAAAAAATAAATTAAAAAACATGTAAACAAAGACAAAGAATGTCTCCAGTACTAACTGCTTGAAAAAAAGGTCTTATTAGCAGTTTATCACATTACAAAAATTAAAGATAAGCTTATACATGTAAACAATTTTCTGGTTATTTTTGTTCCTATGCTAGTTTTTTATTGCAATGAATGTGCTATTATTTTGGATGTTAAATCTGTTACTGCTGTCCAGAAAAGAAACCAAAAATTATCAAAGCTGAAATCTAACCACTAAAAATAAAGGGAGTTTACTAATTAAAAATACCCTGATGAATAATGTGAACCTTTCCTAAACTCCCACAGAAGTAACTGGAACAAATCACACAGGAAATACATAAAACTGTGGGGTTTTTTGCAGCACTTTGATACCACTTTTCTCTTTGTGATTTTGGTATATTGAGTATATATTATTGCATATACTTAGTAGGATAAATTTTCAACTGAAATGACTGCAATGGTAGCATTACAAAGTTTCTAATCTAGACTGAATTCATTGCATATTAACCTGATGATCCAATAATTTGGACTGATTTTAAAAGGTGGCATCCCTTTTAAATCAGTCCAAATTCATCCCACTCCAGATGAATTAGGTACAATAACCGGAAGATTAAATTTTGCTTGCCCACCTCTAAGTGAGTTCAGATCAGCATTCCAACCTGACTGCAGGTAGTGACCTCAGCAAACAAAACAGGATATTTTCCATTTAAGAAAGACTTTTTCAATGCATTGAATTTTTTTCTTGTCAAAGTCTTACTGTCAGCTTGAATGAAAATTATTTCAATGTTGTTCAACATCTAATATCTTGTACCAGCTCTTAAATGACATAACCATAGAAATTTAATCTTTTAGACCTGAATAGACTTGTTTCTTCATCTACCTTAAATCTCCTTTTCTATTCCTTTTTGGTAGCATCTCTTCTTAATTACTATCTATGAAGAGCAATAGCAGCTTTTAGGGTTTAGCAGCTTAAATGTTGTTCTTACTCAAATTTTCAGACACTGCAAAATACAAGAACGGTAAGTCCTTGCAGGGTGTTAACACAAAGAAATCTTTGTCAAACTAGCACTACTGGCTTTCTTGGTCTGAAATTGATGCTACCAAACACATCCTTCCCTAGAAGCATTACAACTCAGTTCACTAAATGATACAATGGCTGTGACACAAGCTCTGGATTGTGGTTTCCTGGTAATTATGAAACAGCTACAGTGTGTGTTGCCCCTGCAAAAGGACCTTCTATTATCTCCTTCTACCTCTAGGCACACACTCCTGTGATTCTGGCATTAGTGCCTGCACTCCTACACGGTGAGTCATGTCAGGGATCATCTCTATCCGCTAATGAATGGCTTTTTCTGGGGCACCTCTCAGGCATATAAACTCATCTGTTTGACAGTGCAGCCACAGAGTGTTTGGTCCAGCTCAGCTAAAGTCATGGGGATGCATGACCAGGACAGCTAACTTTTTTGGCAATGTTCAGCAGTTACCCTTGCTTAAGGTGAATATTAAAGTACAAACTTTGACATCATCATAGATAAAGTTGTTTACATTTTACTGATCTAAAAGCTAACTTGTTTCCAATAAATAGTTGCAGATATGATTCAGTGCATCATTCACTTTTTATATCTCCTTGTTTATAACATCTCTAGTATGACCCTGATGAGATGTTCTACAACCAAGAGAGGAATATGTTGTCAGCAACCAGCATAGATGATCTTGAGCTGATAGTAAGAATCTGTCTCTGGTGGATTACAATCAGGGTTCATAAATCTTAACACCATTCCCAAAGAAAGTACTTAGTCTTCTTCACAAGCCGTCAGCAGTGGTGCACAAGCGGGGTGATACTCCAAGACATGACATTACTGCTTAAAGCTATCAACTCACTCTGTGTTTCTTCTGAAGGTAACCATAAGATGTATAAAACTATGCTGGGACAACAATACAGCCAGAAATTAATTCAATCTCATCACTTCTAAGTATTTCAATTTGTACAGCACAATTAATAAAAATGGGACAGGAAAGAATTAATTACTCAACAACCTCACAGTGATTTACAGTCATTTGAAAGAGAAAAAAGGTCAGAAGCTATAGGGTTGGCTCTACTGAATATCTTCTACAAAGGAGGGAGGATCTTGCACATCTAAAAATTTTAAAATCAGGTGTCTTCTGCAAACCACCCCTTAATCCTTAAACAACATGTCTTACAAAATACCTGTTTTTATTTCAGCTTGCTTCATAGCAGTTCTTTCAGTATTTTAAGAAAAAAAAACGGAGAAGAATTTATTAAGGAAAAATAAATATAGGGATTAAATTATGTTTTACTGTTCCTGGCAACCTTCCATGTACTATAACAAAAGAATATAAAATTACAAGTCTGACAATATTGATTTGCGGATCTGGAAAACTGACAAAGACTGAAATGATGATTATCTAAATTAAATAGCATAGTGAAGGAAAATCCAAGCCAAAAAGCCTCTGCTGTCCCCCAGCAGAAAAGAGCAGTCTCATAATTTTTCCTTTATATTAAAATTCCTACTTGATAAGTAGTTTTTTTACTGAGCATTTAGATTTTAGGCGAACTATTTGCAAAAAGCACCCAAACAAAAACAACGAAAAAAACCCACACTCAGTCCCATTTAGTAAACATTAACTCATGACTTATTCATACGAATTGAAGTAAATCTTCTGACAGCATGATTTTTTTTCCTTAGATAATTAAAATTCTGTTTGAACTGCTTTTGCTTGACCATGTACACAGAATAGTTGAGGTTCCCACAAAACCACTCCCAAAGATACTAAACTTTGATATGGTCAGAGGACTTGGCCATTAATTTTGAAACAGAACAAGTAATGAATGAAATCTTGGCCTCAATGGAGTCACATTCCCATTGGCACATAAAAGTTCAACATGTTATTCATGGGAGCATTCTACTTACTCATTTAGAATCAGATCTGGTGCAAAATACAACATCTGACCACTGACATGTTTGTATGATCTCCATCCCATGGCAAAAACCATTAGACTCATCCAGGAATACTGGATGAGGGTTATCTGATCGTCGATATGCAAATTCCGAAAACCTGGAAATGAAATTCAAGATAAAATATTTCATCATTCTCATTTAGACAGCAGCTAAGTAGGTGTTTTGAGATTACAAATCTGAGCTATCAAACTGAGAATACCTAGAAAAACAAGCAGTTTTGGGGATGTAGCTCTCCAATGCTTGGGTAATAACTGCCTGTCTTAGTTAACCTCTTGTCTTTTTGTTCTCATCCAGTATCTTGAAATGTTCACACCAAAATTTATTTTACCAAAACTGACTGTTTCAGAGGATAGGAATGTATGTCTTTCTCCTTTGGTAAAAATATGACAGTTTGTAACATCATCACTGTAGCCAACTCTCATTGAATGTCAATAGCTTGAACATCAGTGTCCTTACCATAAGATGCAGCTGTCACAAAAAAACATCCAATATGAGCACCTTTCTTGCATTCAACTTAAGAGAACCATATTCAGTTGTGAGCTTGTGTTTGATCGCTTTTGCTGTTTGAAAAACTTAAAGATTGCGACGAATTATCTGAGTGAAACTAACAGCTTCCTGCCACTGAAAGGAGCACTCCTGTTCCTCATTGTGTGGTCCTGTTACCTCCTTCAAGCAAGCTTTGGCACTCATGCTCCTCCTCAGTGAACTGGTTCAGTTCATGAAGACAACAGGAAACACAGAGGGCTAAAAAAAGGTTTCTTTTCCTCCCATTTAGTGAGATGAATCAATTCACTCAAGAGGTCTGTTAAGTGCCAAATGCAATGGGAAGAGCAGTGATTGAGACTACTGCTTTCTGCAGCAGCAGTGTCGAACTGAGCTCACATGAGACTATTTTCCAGGCTTTGTCCTCAATATGTTGATTTCTATATATCCCAGGATGACCATGATGATCCCTACCACCATACAGCACACATAAATATACAACATGGATCTTTTTTTTCAATTCAGTTGTGGATCTTCATTCAATTACTTCTTATTACTAGTCTGTTTGTGAGCAGCTTACTTCTAATTGGTATTATTTATAAAAATTTTACTTTTCGGCGCTTTCAAAAATTCATTTTAGTAATAAGAAGAATAAAGAATAAGCAGATATACGACCTTTTTTATATCAAATGAATAAATAGAAGAAAGGCTGTAATAACAATCACATACAGGAACTGTCGGAGCTCCTGTGCTTACTTGGAGTGAATCTAAATACTTAGATGGATTCTTTCAAATGTGCTTCCCTATTTAAATATATTTGATTAGTTAAATTATCTGATAAGGGAAAGCTTAATAATTTCTGAATTTGTAAAGAATTAACAGGTAGTCAATAGTACTAGCTTCAGAGTGCTCCTCTCATGAAATATTTGCTTAAATACAATTCACTACATATAAGAAATTATATTACCTGGTAGTAATTTAGACCACTTGACTACACAAAGAAGTTGTCTCTCACAAAGATGATTCAGACTGGTGAGCAAGGAACTTGGTGTTTCGGGTTTTGTATTGTCATAACCAGCATAGACAACTTCTGGCTCAATGCCTCGTAAAACACTTATCATTGGGGGAACAAACTGTATTTCTTGATTTGGAGAAAAGGACAGCCTTTGGGTTAGAGCCTGGCTTTCATCTTGAAGGGCTGCTGGCTGCTGGAGTGCAACATCTAATGTTCTCACAACCTTAATTTTGTTAAACTTTTTCAATTTTCGACCTGAAAAAAAAATTGTTGATCTGTTAGAAAGAGTTAACCAAGAACATTAGTATTTTCCAGTAATGTTGGATTACACTTTTAATCTATACAAGGAAACCAGAGCTGTCTTCAGAATAAATTTTCTATTTTTTGACTATTAACGTAATTGAAAAATGATAATGGAAAATTCTTTAGAGCTTCTCCCTCTGTATCCTGCTCCTTTCACTAAGGGATGAACAGCACCCACCCATTAAAATTATTGCCATGAATTCTAGGTTACAGTAACCTCGTAAAGGGTTTTCTGGTTCAATTCCCACTGTTCTGTCATATGCCAACAGCTGAGCCAGCTGGCTCTACAATTCAGTTTCTATTCAATGTCAATTAAAGATACTGCTTCTTTTACTCCCTAATATTCAAAACCAAAATTGTTAGTAATTAATTACTACACATAGAAACTCCTCTCCTCCAGTTCCCTAAGAGTATTTCAGTGTCATGGTTGAATCTTATTTTGGTGCCCAGGGGGATGAGTGAAAGACTGACAAATACTGTAAACTCTTAGAAGATATTTCATTTCCTAAAGAATAATTTCCCTGTCTTGGTATTTTTAATTGTTACTTCCATACTACAGTGGTATGAACAACACTAATTGAAACAAATTAATAGCTGAACTGCCTTCCCAAAATAAGCACAGATACATTAGTATGGTTATTTGCTTTAAATAGATCCTCAAAGATGATGAAAACCCTGCTAGATCTTTAGTTCTGCCAAACAAGTTTGTCTTAGGGAAAAAGGTCAAAAAATGCAATAAAAATACTGATACTTATGGCCTGATTTACATGACAGGGGAATAGAAATAGACACAGGGGTGATGGCAAAAACAGTAACACTCATCATGCAATGACATTCAGGGTTCATATTCCCACTAACTTAACTGCAGGTTTAATTAGATTAGTATAAAGTGCCACAACCATCATATGCTCATTTTACCACTTATGGTAAGAATAAAAATATTTCTAATTCGAGATTTCTTAGTAAAGAACCAAACACAAAGTTGCATCTTATGTTACAGCTGAACCAAGGAAAAAAAAGCAAAACAAAAACCCACAAAAGAATAGACAATTTATTATGCTGAAAGACCTAGAGCCAATTTTTATCATAACAAACCTATACATAGCCATAAACTCGCTGGGAATTTCCCACTAAGTATTGTGCAGGCATGAAGGAAAAACAGAAGTAACAATGCATTTGATAGTTCATAAATAATGATTTCAGGTATTTTCAGAAATAATGGCTTCAGATACTTTTACAGTTCAGAGAACAAGTAAAGAAAGAAACCAAACAGAATAGTTATCACATGGAAATGTTAGTAGTTAATAAGTACCCATGTTTCCAAGTGATTAAATGTATCAGAATTAATGTCACACTGGTTTGCAGAACTGCTCGTGTGTTTATTGCTAATTATGTTGCTTAACAGCCATCAGTAAAACAAATCCACTTGTTACCTATCTACAAGAGAGGTGACTATTAATAACTCGCACCAAACTTTCCCATCTACAACAAAGGAGACCACATGAAATTAATAAAAACTCTAAAGAACATAAGGAAAACAATGGAGATTGGACAATAGCTTAGTTTTTCATTTGCTGTTTACAAAGCAGGTAAGTTTTGCTGTAAGATAAGTAAATGTCTCCCCTTAGTCCCATAATAATAATACCAATAATAATACCAATTATTAATATTGGTAAATAATACCAATCCACACTGACAACTATTTTTCTTAATACTATAATATATACTTCTTAATACTATATGTCTGTGCATATTTAGGCAGCACAAAATTTTTGATAACATTTTCATTACCTCACTTTAAGACAGCTAACCACTCAAGCAGTTTCTTCATACTCACTGTTCCCCTACCCTTGATTATTATGAATAGCATGTTTATAGTGCTTGTGTTCTACATGTACCTAGAAAACATTTTAAAAAATCTGTTTAATCCCACTATCAAATATATTATGATTTTGTCCTTACTACCTAATTCTGTATTTTATTTTTTTTTTTTAACCAGGTATACAGAATCATACAGGCAATTAGACATTATTGATGGTAGACAATTTATAATAAAAGACCTGGGTTTCTAGAAGAAGTTTAACATCTCACTACCCATCTCCTTACCCTGTAATGAGGTGAAAAGCATCAATGATGTATTATTCTTGACAGAACACAATGGCCCTTACTTTAAGGTCACTCTGCTCCTGCTTTTTGTGTAGAAAAAGAAGCCGTGCACACCTTAGGAGGGTGTATACAACATGGAGAAAGCAGCAAAGCAGAAGGAACACATCTTGGTTTTAATAAACCCTTTGATCCTACCTCAGAAAATATTACCTGGAAAATTAATTCACCTTTTTCTGCATGTAATCACTGCACTGCGGACTGAAAGCTGATTGAAACAATGAAGGACACAGTCATTCAGCAATACAGCTGAACAAGGAATCTGTGATAATCAGCCTGAAAAAATTACACATTCACTCATAATAAATAAAAGAGTTGAGTACTTGTTTATTCCAGGACCTGATCCAGCTACCTGCTATTCTATTAGGTTTTAAGATTAGAAAGGGGATAGATTAATGTCTCAAGTTATGAGATTATAAAGCCCAAAGACAATTAACACTTTCAAAGAAAATTACAAACACAGTACTGTGAATTGCATATTTTTATTGATACGTTCCTTCTATAGATTAAGAAAGACAAAACAGTCCATATATGGAAATAAATTATTGAAGCTATTGGTTGCTATCCTATAATTTACTTACTACTGATTTAAAATTTCTTTCAAAATTTCAGGGGTTTGATATTGCTTGGAATTTAGGGTTGAAAAATTGAACTTTTGTCCATATAATAAAATAGTACACTTTTATCTATATGGTTGCCACTCAGTGACATTCAATGGAAGATAGGTGTACTTCCCTAAGAAGTAAGTTTAATTTAATTAATATAGTAATTTTTGGAAGCTTATCATTAATATCCTTTAAAATTTCAGTGTTTCTCATGTTAATTATGTAATATAGCAAGTCTGCATTTAACTCAAGGCCATCATTAAGAAACTAAGTATCAGAGGTAAAAGAACAAAAATATCTCTATGTAAGTTCTAAATGGCAGAAATCACAAAATGCACAAAATCTTGACCTATACAGGTTGTAAACACAAAAAAATATTTAAAGTATTGCCAATTCCAATTGATTTAAAATACTCAAGGATGTCTCTAAGCATGCACTTTATTCCAAGAACTGGAAATTTGCGTATAGGCTTTTATCACAGAATCAGAGAATTCCAGGATGCGAAGAACCTCATGGACTATCCAGTCCAACCTTCCCTGGCAGAAGCACAGTTAGACAAGATCACCCAGCACCATGTCCAGATGAATCTTAAAAGTGTTCAAAAGTGATGATGCCACCAGTGATCTGGGCAATAATGCCAGTGGCTGATTTTTCTCATTGTGGAATATTTCTCTCTTGTGTCTAATCAGAATCTCCCTAGGAGTAACTTGTACTCTTTATCCCTTGCCTTTTCCATGTTTCCATCTTCTTTGCAGTCACCCTTAAACAGTGGAAACCAGTGATAAGGTGTCCCCTAGGCCTTCTTTTCTCACAGCTGAACAAACCCAATTCACAGAATCAGAGAATCAGGGAATCTTTTAGCTTGGAAAAGACCTCCAAGACCACCAAGCCCAAACTTTGATGCATCACCACCTTGTCAACTACAGCACTAAGTGCCATGTCCAGCCTTTCTTCAAACACCTCCAGGGATGGTGACACCACCACCTCTCTGGGCAGCCCATTCCAAAGTTTAACAACCCTACCTGTGAAGAATTTCCTCCTAATGTCCAAGCTGAATGTCCCTTGGCACAGCTTGAGGGACAGTATGTCCTCTCATACTGCTACATGATCCCTGGGAGAAGACGCCATCTTGCTACAACCTCCTTTCAGGCAGATGTAGAGAGTAAGAAGGTCCCTCCCAAACCTCCTTTTCTCCCGGCTAAACAACCCTGGCTCCCTCAGCTGCTCATCATAGGATTTATGCTCCAGACCCTTCCACAGCTCCGTTGCCCTTCCCTGGACACACTCCTCAATGTCTTTCCTGTAGTGAGGGACCCCAAGCAGGACACAGCACTCGAGGTGTGGCCTCAGCAGTGCAGAGTACAGAGGGACAATCAATCACTGTCCTAATCCTGGTTGTAACACATTCTTGATACAGGCCAGGGTGCCATTGGCCTTCTTGGCCACCTGGGCACAGAGCTGGTTCATGTTTACCCTTTTCTCGTATGGCAGGCTTCCCAGCCCTTTGATCACTGATGTCTTTAGGAAAATTATCTAAGCCCTGTAACACTCCATATATGAATCATATTGTGTTGATGAGCACATCAAGTCATGGGTAGGAAATTTTGCTCATGTGATACAACAAAGGCATTGTAAAAATGGCAGACAAGCAAAAGAAGAGGGGGGACAATATAACCATAGAAAGAGTATTATGGCTAACAGTCCGTCTTGAGATTTTTTTGCAGTTTGAATTTTAAACCCTCATTTACAAATAGTATCATTTCACTCCAGTTTTCCTCATTTTTGGTCTACATTTGTCTTTTCTTCTTCCTTTCAGTACTAAGCACTCCATTTCAGCCTGCATAGAACAATTATCTTCCTAATTTCCCCAGAACTGTTGACATCACTAAGAGCACCTGACAAAAAAATAGAGGTGCCACAGTCACAGCTCCACTCAGTATTTCCTTTTTTCCATTGCCCAACTATTCTCTTTTGCTTTCTATTTGCTGCCAGATTACTCCTTTCCAGAAGATGGTGTAGGTGGGGATATCAGGGCAGAGATCTGATGAAATGCAATGTCTGTCTAAGAACTAGTGAAACTAGATTACACAGGCTTCTCAAAAAATGGGAGACAGTTTTGATTAGGTATACTTAGGAGAAGACTAAGCAACACAACAAACTGGCCAGGTACAAAAATCTAGTATTAAATACAAAGAAAATATTTACACTTGCTTTGTAATAGCTGAGAAAAAAAAAGTGATCCGAAAAGGTGATGAGAAAGATGAAGATTTTACTCTCTTCATACGTTACAGCAATGAAATAAAAGTCAGAGCATCTTTATCCTCAGGTTTTGTAGGAGGATAGAGTATCTTACTATGAGAACACACTAATGAGGACATACCATCTGATCAATATTGCTGGCAAAAGTGTCCAACTTTTTCTGTTCCTAGCACCTAAACCCAGAGAAAAATGCATACATTAAAAAAACACTAGGGAAACTAGCATCCATAACTGCACACAAAGTGCAGAACGAAGTCAAGCCTGCTGGCGACTTTTCCTATTACTATGCAGAACAATGCTGAAGCAAAAGGACTAGACAATGATAGTGAGTCATCCCACACTCTTCTGCTTGTTGAAACTGCTACCTGTGATGTTGAAACACACAAAGTTTAGTTATTGGTGTTATCCAGGGTATCATAAATGAAAATTTAGGTTAGATCATCATCAAACTCCTAGCTGTGCAAAATTCACAGTAAAGAATGAATTTTTATCTCTATTAATTTACACCCATTCGAATCATAAAATGGTTTGGATTGGAAGGCATCTGAAGATCATCTAGTCTAAGACACCTGCCTTAGGCAGGTATATATTTTAAGAGGTCAAATTGATCAAACCTTGCATGTTCTCCCAAATTTTAAAAGGCAAGGACTACATTTGCCAACTCCTCTTCCTGAGTCTTTTTTCTTACTCTGCATTTTCCACAGCCTACTCAGGACTTCTGCCTCCCTTGCCTTCTCCTCTTCCAATGTTGGGCAAACAAGGCTTTAGGCTCTGCCTTTGTATTAATACTGTTTCCCTACTGCACTGCCACTCTACTTTTAAAACATTACTTCAATCTGAGAAGGATCCAAAGGACATGCTCTCCTTTTGTCCTTCTCCCCTCAGCCCAGTGTGCTTGTCAGCTCCATTTTTTTTTTTTTTTAACTGAGAGGTGGCACTGACTGACCGTGTAAGAACGACACAAGGGCTGTGTGTGCAGAATACCCCAGCTCCATGGGGCTGGCATTCAGCTTACAGGAGCTGGAAACACAGAGCTGTGCAAACTATCAGTCTGAAAACTATATGCATGTTCTACATTATCAAGGAATGCTGACCAGCAAGATAATGAAATGATACAGGATATACTGCCAGCTCTTCCTTCAGAGATAAAAAACAATACTTGAATGTGGGGGAGGGAATGTAGGTTGAGCAGGGGAGAGAGACAGACAGAGGGCTTTGATGGGCTAAAACAGATTAAATTTGAAATAAAGCAGGTTTTTGTCCTTCCCCCCCTTTTTTTTTTAACTCCCTTTAGGCACATATTCTTTCTATCACTTTAATATGTCCGTTTTCTTATGGTCTTAGCCACATATTTCCAAGCTTTGTGCTGATACAAAATAGGGGGAAAAAAATCAGCAAAAATAAGCATCATTCCTGCCTGTAAGCACATCAAAACTTGCCATGTGACTACCTAATCATACACCATTTTCTCCCTGTAGGTTTTCAAAAGCACAGTGCTCAATTTCATTTAATGATACATTAAAAAAAAAGAAAAAAACCAGCCAAATCTGTTACAGAAAAACTAATACAAAGATGGGATTTCCCAGCACCTAATATGCAAAGCCTGCAGTATTGGTGCAACCACTGCCTGTCTCTCTCTGGTGGAACAGAAGGATACAATTCTGTTGACATGTACTCAAAGCAATGATGAAGAGTATAACACAAATTAGAAGAGCACAGTACTGATTCCTGATTCTAGTGTCAATTTCAATCTACATATTTTTTACCTATACCAAACTACCTACCTTAGAGATCCAAAATTATTAACAAATATACCTACAACATAATTCCTTTTCCTTCAAGAAAATGAATGTAAGGATACACAGTACAGAAAGGTGTTTTGTCCAGGTTTCCAGATTCACTAAAGAAAAATTCTATGTATAAAGCATTAGGTAATTCTTCCAAAAATAATATTTGAATGTGGTTTTTCTTTCACAGTATCAAAGTACTGTTGTTTAACCTCAACAGACTGAAGGTAGGGTACTTGACTGCCTATTTTTATAAATCCACTTGAAAAACAGCTCACCTCCCAGGACCATACCAGCCTGACAGCACTTCCTCAAGCGACATGCTGGGCAGTTCTTCCTACGGATTTTATCGACTATGCAGTCATTTCTTCCAGCACACAAATAGTTGTGCTGCCCTGCAGGAAAGAGAAAAACTGTGTGAACAACATGTTTTCTAACATGAAAAAATTATTTCTGTGTATAAATGTTGCAAAAATAGCCAAAGATTCAAAAACATGTACTTGAATCATTAAAGAACTCCTTCATTTTATACTAACCTTTGACCAATCATGTTACTATTTGAATATAATGCTTTATTTGGTCTGTTCAAGGGCAAAACTCCTCATCTATGAAATTCCAAAATAATTAGCAGTCAAAACTGCTTAAATTATTGTACTGACAGTATTTCTTAAGTAAATCAAGCACAAAGAGAGACCAATTGCTTCTTTAAAACTTATTTTTCTGTGAAGTTATCAATCCTATTTTTAAAGAACTTAAGTACATTTTGCTTGGATTGATGTGGAGTTTCTGGCAGCAAACAGAATGAAGAAGTTGGGGAAGTGTAAAAAAAAAAGCCTTTTAAGCAAAGCAAATACCTCTGATGGGCAAGCAGTTCTGTAATAAACTTGCTGAAATACCAGCTGACCAGGTGCAGCCAACACAGCCAAAAAGGACAAACAGAAGGGGATTGTAACTCTGTGGCTCAGTAATGTTTTAATCAGAAGAAATTCTCATCTACTTTGTCTCATTAATTCTGGACTCCTCCTTACAGGAAACATTACCAAAAGGAGACAAATGAATAAAAATCCATCTTGCTATTGGCAGCAGACCAGTAAGCAAAACACTTACTTGGGATTACTTGCAGTTTTCCCTTGTATTTCTTTGCCTTTATAAGCTACAAAAAGCATTCAGTCTTTTGATAAGCAACAACAATTTTAAAACTCCATTAGTTTAATTAAAATCCATGAGTATTATCTCACCTCCATGGCATTCTAGTGCTTTAATGCACAGCTAATTTACAAAGGAATGCTTAAGCATAGTTAGTTTTCTTTGTGCTTTTCTTGTTTTGGGGGTTTTCTTTGGTCCCCTGAAAAGAGATTTCTTCTGGACCTCTTTTCTAGGGAATTTGTTAATTCTTCACAAGATGGCCTGACTCCATATAAACCTTGCCCTGCTTATTATAATTCTAAGGCTGAATAACATTTTTCACATTTACAAAACAAATCATAATTGAATCGCAGTTATTAAAAGTACAGTTCCATGTTCATATGTTCTGAAGTTTCAGATTAGACAGGATTAAACAGTGTCTCTGCCCAGTGTATGCCAGGCCATAAATGAAATCTGTTACTAGAATTTAGGCACAGTAAAATTTGCTTAGAAGTCAAAACACTGCCAACCCAACTCTCTCAGGGGATTATGATGACAAAAACTCAGGCACCTCTTGATGCTTGATAACATCTTCCTTGTTTTCAGGACTTTTAAGAAACCAGTCATATCCTGTACCTGACTTACACCTTCATGCGAGTTTTCTATTCCACTCATCTCTACCCCACCTCTCCCTGACACCTTCTGTCCCAAAGTGTATTCCACTCTTTCTGATTGAGCTAAATCTTATCTGGAATACATATAAGTTTCAATTGTTTGGCAGTTTTCAGTTTCATCAGTAAAGAATTTTGTTTTTAATTGCAGTGATTTGTGTGGATTTCATCTCAATAGATAAATCTGAGTAAATGTTCCCATTTGAAATCACTTCTACCATTGTGCAAAGCTGGGTTCTGAGAAACTGTTACTTGCTTGACATTAATATTTTAGGGACAGCAGCCATCTGAAGGAGAGATTGTGTAAGAAATTAACACATGCCAGATATTTGCCTAATTTCAAAATTACTGGACCATATTTAGTTAGATCACAATGTTTGGAAGGTTTTCCTGGAATGATAAAATATGTATTTGAAAATGTGTTTGCAACAGTTCAGTCTTCAGGATCTTCTAGACTTGAACTAATTGTCTTCCATACTTGAGCATTGCAGTTGTACCAAATGCATGTACTAATGAAGTACCCAAAACCTCCATAAAGATAAAATCACCATTCAATTGGTAGCTTGATAGTCAGTATCTTGTCTATGACTACTGTCACTATAACCAGGAAAACAAAAAACAAAACAAACAAGCAAACAAAATACTCCGGAAAAAAAAACAAGACAGTATTATAGTCACTAGTGCACAAGTTTGAAGGAAAAGCTTTCTATTAGCATTTCCCACAAAAATATGAACCTGGGAACTTTCTGGCTATTGCCACACCTTCAAAAACTTCACCTAATGTTAAGTTTCCTCTGCATGTTTACTTTGCACTTTTTTTTGAAAGTGCACATTGAGGGTCACTCTCAATGTATTGGCCTGTTACCAGCTTGATGAAGAAAACACAGAGATGATTTTGTCTGTCACTTAAATGTTCCTGATTCTTGTAGAATAGTATTTTTTTAAACTTCCACCAAGATCCATTACTGTTAGCAAAGCTGCAAGTTCTAATGTAAGCAGGCAAACCCAATTTTTACTCCTGTAATGACTATTGCTATGCTGGGAGGTTTTTAATCCAGTGGTGAAAGTAGTACATACAGTGTCTTTACAAACTGCACTCTTAACTTAGCTCGCTGACATGCTGTACGTCACTTACAATCACTCCAGTAAATTCAAGAGTTGCAGAGACTTTGTAGATGTACAAAATATGGAAAAAATAAAGCTTTATCTGCACCTGGAGTATCAGACACAGCAATCAGTTATTTGGGTAAGTGCATCTGTGCTGAACTGCTGCCACCCTGCACAGAAGCAAAACACTTGCAAACTCTCAGTTCCTCTTAGCTGCAAGAAGAGTACTATCTCACCTTGTTTTTTCTCTCTCCCAAACGTGACTTTGCCTCCCTGTATCTCTATTAACTGCCAGTGCTTTTGTATAAAACCACCAACCTTTCCAGAGCACATCATGGTGTTTTACTTAGTCTAGTTTTAGATTTCTGTCTAAAGCTTGCAGACATCTATTGCATCTCTTTGTGAATTATTTTACTGCCAAATGTCTCCCTCTGCTTTACTGCCAAACATCAACTTTGCTTCCTGAAGGCTCACCTCAAGGTTTTGCTCAATAATTTTCTAAAAGTATGTTTCATGTCTTATAAACTTTTGAAAAAGTACCAATTAAATCAATAACACTTTTGCACAGTGTTGCACTATGAATATAGTGAATCACACTGCCATCACAAAACTGCTTATCATAACACTGAGAAGGTCAGATAAACTTTATCAGAAAGTTTGGTTGAAGTCATGATCAACCTTCTTACTGTGTAGGTGTAGCTCATCATCAGACACTCCACAGAACCTCTCCATACACAGACAGTGAAAACTCTCATGGAAATCTTACTTTCTGCCAGTTTACCAAATTCAGATCTCAGATAGAATGAAAGTTCACACGTGGTCAGTTAAATGTTATCTGCTACATGTGCTTGAGCTTGTTCCCTGATGCCATTGATGCAACAGAGTTTAAGGTCAGAGTTACCCTGACCTTAAAGCACATATTAAAACTAGACAAATGTTCTACAATCACTTGATCAAATTTGTAACACATTTCCAGGTATTTAAACAAACCCAAGAGTCAGTTTCTGACAGATCTGCTGCAATATCATGTATTCATGTCAATCTCAGACTCTAGGTTTGGGCAACTACTTTTCCTCAGATATCAACAATATAAGCAAAGTGCAAATATAAATAGAGAAGAAAAATAAGAAGAGGCTTTATCATAGGAAAAACAGCACTTGAATTTTTTTGCAGGATTTAGGTAATTCCAAATTTTCATTAGTAAAACGAAATTTTACTATGAGACACTTTCAACAAGAAGGCAATAAGGCAGGCTACCAAGAAACTCTCTGTTAGCAACAGCTCCAGAATCCCAAAATTTTGAACACTGGGCTCCTCTCAAGGGAAAAACATCTCATTGTGGTATTCCACAAGCATTTTGATCATAGCTGCCCTGTATCATTTCACATTATGGAATCTTTATAAGACATCACAAATGGCTGTTTGGAAATTTAGTCATTGAAAAGTAAAAGTTTGTCTCTTAATCTTCATTCTCTTAATGCCTGTTAGAAATATTTGCCTCTACTTTTTATTACCATGAATGAGATATATTGGTAGCAGTTAAGTAACACCTGGTTATCAAGAGCAAATTATCATACAAATACAGTAATTCTACATATTTGAAAGCATTTTGAATATTATTTTTGATTTTTTCTTTTATTTTTATCTCCAAAATCCTCATCACACTCATCCCACTGACAGGAACAGCACTACCCCATCAGCACAATGAATTAATTTCGTCTCTTCAAATTTCTTTACTGAGTATGAACAGCTGTAATTTTCTTTGTTTTCATTGTACTCAAAGGAGATCTTAAAAGTATTTTTAAAAGCCTTGTCATTTCTTTGTACATTTAGTGAATCTACAGACTAATAGTCATTTGCAGGAGTCCAGTAGAAAATGTACAACCTCTAAATGCAGACAAATGTTTCCTAAGTAAAACCAACCCAGTATCTTTGTCCCCTTTCTCCTCCTCACTTGCAGTACTAACTTTTTTACATATCTGCTATACTACAGGTTCCCAAAGAAAGGACTTGCATCTTTGTTTAACCTGCTTCAAGATTTTGCCTTAAGAAATATATGTTTATTACATTAACTCCAGCCTTTTGGGGAACATATGGGGAACCAGGAACCCAAAAGACAGAAAGTATCTAAAATGCATACATATTTTAGAACTCAGTGTCAAGAAACATTTTAAGTAATCTTTGTGATTCTCACATAACTCTGACCCCTCATTAAGTTGTACGTGGATGTATTAGTTACATTCAAATGTGTTACTAAATTGTAATTATTAAATACAGTTTTAATTAATTGTTAAGTCATAATAATTTTAATAATCTGGTTTTATCGCAAAAAAACTTGATATGGAAAAAAAAAAGAGTTTTCTGGATAACAGAGCAGTTCATTTTATTCAAATGGATGTATTTAACCAATAAAGTATTGTCCTCACACCAGGGAAGGTAAAATAAATGGTGTATAAATAGAACAGTTTCTGTGAAAAAAATTACAAAAAAAAAAAAAACAGGCTGTTTGATTTGAAACAGCAAATGTGTCTCATATTACATAAATAATTAAAATAGAAAATAAGCTTTTTCCAACAAATGTAAAGCTACCATATTAAGTACTTTTTTACCTATGCACAAAACCTCATAACATACAAAGAAACCTCTCAAGATAGAGAAAATCCATGAAATAGCAAAAGCCAGCTATTTCCAATCAGGCTTTAATTTCTCATAAAGATCAGTACTGTGTGGAAATTACATGAAAAGTAGAGTTTTGACCAGGAATTTTTACTCACAAAATGTAACATTTTATTTTCGTGAATTATTATTAAAAATCCCACGTCTGTAGTAGCACTAAAAATTTTAAAAAATAAGTAATGCATTTATGCTCAGAGAAATTATGGGCAGGGGGACATTTCATGGATGAAATATGTTTCAAATTCATATGATTGCCAGTGAGAATTTTAACCACTATTTTCTACTTCATTTAAAATACAAATACTTTGTGTCTTTTCACAGAGGAGCAATTTCCCACCATTATTTCTGATATTAATTTTTTTTAAAGTATTTAAAGTCCAAAGAAAATCAAATATCTGTCAATAAATAGGATTGGTTTAGTGCTGATAATTATATAGTATACTGCAATGAAAATAAGAAGTCCATCAGTCCATCTCTAAGGAGCCCCCTGTAGTCTCGCACTTTCTACACAACAACAGGTACAACTGTATTTGTTCATTTTGCCAGTGCCTACACTGCTCATTGTCTGACATTGCTCCCCATCAAACTCAATAACATGTATCTTTTCTGATTACAGTCAGGTTTCTGATGCACATTCTTGAACATTCTTTGAAAATCCTTTCTAGAAAACCCAAACACCCTTCCTCAACAGACTCCCCATCTGTGGATTCATTTAAATGTTAAAATTATGAAGGTGCTATGTAAAACCTAAGACTTTTGTTTACATAACTGCATTGACCTCTCATTTGTCTCTAAATAACTCTATATTCTTAACCTGGTAAGACTCTGCCAATATAGACTTTGAACAGTCTGTGAAAACAATTTTAAGATGTTCCTTGTATCAAGTTATTCCTTCTTAACATGTTTTGTTAAAATAATTCTGCTGAACAATAATGTAATATATTATGTTTTTGAGCAGGTTCATCTACTGCAACAGAACTGGGTACTAAATCAGAAAAGAGAAGAAATCTAAAATTGACAGAATAAAATTCAAAGAAATTATTACAACATTATAGGTAAAAAGCAAAAAAACATTTCTTTTAAAATACAGTACTCATAAATGACACTACACTTAGTATTAAAACTTCAGCTCCCTGACTTCTTAAAAAAATATTTGGCTGATTTAGAAAAACACAGCAAAAAAATGCAAAGGCAAACCAGGAGACCAACTAGCAGAGGCAGTGAAACTTAAATGTATTCCTGCAAGTGACTTAAGAGCTTTGCAGCCTAACACAAATATTTCTGGTCATTTTCTCATGAAACCCATTGAATGCATCAGAGAAATGTGGCACTGGCTCAAAAGTTCACTTAGACCACCAAGACCACTTTGCAAATACTTAATGTTAAGGAAGAATATTTAATGTTGAGGAAGAACATGAGCATATGCTTAAAGTAGAAAGTAACAGCACAGTGAAACAAAAAATCTAATTATATTATTATGCTAAGCTTTTACTTTTCCAAAATTCCCTTTCTCATTTGGAAAGAGATAAACTCTTTAAAGCAGGAAAAACTACGTATCACAACAAGAAAATACAGGATGCAGGGTTTTATTTTAAGGAATCCTATCCATTAGAACAATGGTTTTGTTAAATACATGGAACAGAAATTTGAATATCCTAGTTCTAGCAGGATCAGATAAAAATCAAAACAGGAGACAAAGCCTAAAAAGTGGAAGGATTTGTTTTACTGCTTTATGTGTTGAACCATATAAAACACTCTGTGCTTGTATTTGTTTTCAAAATCTCAGTGGACAAGGCATGTAAAAGAATCCAAAATGAAAAATTAAACCTAGATATTGCTACTGTTTCATAAAACTTGCAGTTTTACTTTGCAATTTAACAACTATTTGGAACAAGTTAAATACATTTATTCTTATTATGACTTGAATAGGCTCAGTGAAATTTTAAATACTTCCATAACTACCAGGAAGCCAAAACTTTGCAACTTGAAAGCAAGAAAAATTTTGTGTTTTCAAAAAGAGAACACAGCCATAAACAATTCTTATTTGCCTATCATGAGTTCATACCCAGAATGTTTTCCTTTGAACACCATTTATACTTTTTAAAACAAGTTGTATAATGCACAAAATTTTTATTTAACTCTGCCTACCTGGAAAGATTAACTGATAAACAGTAAATAATAAATAGCAAAAGAGTAAAGTAAAATAAATAATACTAGGAAAAAAAAAACAACTAAGGAAGAACTTTGTCAATATCCACTGTTGATAAAACAACAATAAAATTCACTGCAGTGGCAATATTTATAAAAATGAGCAATAAATAAACAGTATGCCCTGGTGTCTAGAAGACATATTTCAGACAATTAGGAACAATGGCATCTCATAGTACCTTCCATTGCCCTTTTAAAGAAGACTTTACAACTTCCACAGGTAAGTACTCCATAGTGGCAACCTGAAGCCTCATCACCGCAGATGAGACAAATCTTCTGGGGTAGTGATTCGAAACTGAACTGAGAACTTTGGCTGGTTTCCGTATCTGGCCTTGAGAAGAAAGAGAATTAAAAAGAAATGAAAGAGCTAGCTTTGTGCAGTTAACTACTTACCTGTATTAAGGAGTTCTATACTAAAAACTTCATTTTAAAATTTGTAGTCAAGATACAGAAAAAACTAAAGTATGATTGCCTTTCTGCTTAATGGTTTGTCTCTACTATGGTAATACAGGAAAGCATTGCAAAAAAAAAGCAGAAAGTTATATTTTAAACCATTGAGCAAAAAAGGTACCATCTAGGACACTGTTAAAATGTTCATCTTCCTCAGATCAACAACTCTTGTGAGTGGAGCCATACTGATGATTTTTTCTCCTGTACAGAGACAGAATCACATAGATGTCAATTGAATTTTAAAGGCCTCTTTCACATGGGAAACATGAAATTTCATTTCAACTAAAAAAATCTTTAATAATCAGTTTTTCACCCCCCATTCAGCTGCAGCATTCTCAGCAGTAACTAAGTCTGATGGGGATATCAATGATATTTGTCTCCAAGGCAGACTAATCCAGGTAACCACTGCATTTACTAAAAGAAAGGATACCCACTGAAACTGCAACATTGCATGCACCTTTTGTTGTATCTATTTGTAGGTAATACAGATCTCAGCACGATAGTACACCATTTCATTCAAGCAAATCAATATACAAATGTTTCATTTTTTTTTTTTTCGTGTGAAATCAAGTGCTTTTTGTGGTGTTGGGTTTTTTGGGTTGGTTTTTTGGTTTTGCTGTTGTTTTTGTTTTCAGCTTTTTGGTTTCTTTGGGTTTGTTTTGGTTTTGGTTCTCTTTCAAATTGGGAACTATTCTGGAAAATATTTAGGTATTGACGAACACGGTATCGCTGAAAGTGAGGACAAGCTAGAAACCTGCCCGCTGTGTCCCGGGGCCGGGCAGTGGCTCGGCCATGGGGAGTCCGTGAAGTCCCGGTGCGATAACAAGCCAACATCCCTGGGGCGTACCGTGCCCACAGCCGCGATTGCCAGCTGCGGAGCCGGGACACGGCGGCGTGCTCAGGCAGCGTGGGGAATGCCAACGGGGCTGCGGCCACTACCTAAAAGCCCAAGAGGGCCCTGGCCGAGAGAAACTTTGTCCTTCCCTCAGCATCCCCTTAACATCCCCCCGAGGCGCCCATCGCCCGGCACGCCCGCCCGCCCCTCCGGAGAAGGATGAGGATGAGGAGGAGGAGG